ATGTGTGTGTTGCGTGCGCACGCGTGTGTGCGTACATGCGCACAATTGTGATTGCACGGATGGTTTGAGGGTTAGAAACTGGCATGAGGAGAATCAGCTAGCTGGTGGGGTAGGTGGGATGAACAGAGAGGCGAGAGGGGCAGGCCCCATCGGATTCTACGGAAAGGCCAAGGAAGTTCAAGGACAGTTATGCCCATCCGCAGAGGTAGGGGTTCAGAGGGGTTTTGGTTTTGTGACCTTAGATAAGGAATTCCCCCCACTGTGGACCTCAATTTCCCGTCCGTAAAATAAATGTGTTAAACCGGGTATTTTTAAATGCTCTTCCAGCTTTAGACTGTGACAGTTCTGCAAATTACGAACGTCATCGCTATTTGAGCAGACATGTGGACATGTGTGCCCACGTGCACTGTTGGATTTATTTGCCTTCCTAGTAGATGGCACATCCTCACTCCCATTCTCTTAAAATCAGCTGGGACAGCGCACTGGCTGGACCGGGTCACAGCTCAGGCGTCTGAGGCTGCCTCTCCCCGGCGTCCCTGTGGCTGGGGGACTTCCCTTTTCCATTTTCTCATCTGGAAAATCAGGATATGAGTCCCCGTCTCTACCTCATCGTGTTTCAAAGAGAGTTAATTAATTCATCGTGTGCATTACGCGCACAAGAATTTACTATTTTTCAGACATTTTCTAGTAAAACACTGGAGATTGGACATCCCTTTGTTTTGTACACATGGAGCGCCGTTTGGTACACATCATAAAACCGAAACTGGAGTTTACATTCTGAACCCAAAGAATTACTCCAGCCTCACTGATGTTTACAATACATCCCAATTTAGTATCCTCGGCAAATTTTATATAAGCCTGGCTTTGATTCTGTCTCGCGCTCCAGATTTTTGCGAGGGAAGAAACGTGAGCGAACCCTCATTGAAACTCTTGTGTCCTTTCAACCAGCTCATGTGGAATTGAATGTTACTTTTCGTTTGGGAACCTGCGGAGACCTTTCGGTGCACGTCAGCGTCCTCTGCCCTCCCTGACTTTTTGAGTGACATTTCCCAGAGGCCAGGTGACTATTCTGGGTCGATCGACTTGCAGTTTCTTCAACGGAGCCCCGATCGGGTGTCTTCGGCCAAGGAGGTGACGCTTCCCAAAGCTGCTCTTATCTTTTATCCGTCTCTGTTTTTCTTAAATGCCATCGGCAGACTTCAGATCAGGGGTTGGCAAACTTTCTGTCGAGGCCTAGGTAGTAAATAACCCAGTAGGTGTGGCCGCGTTCCAGTCAAACTTTATGGGCACTGAAATGGGAATTTCTCTTAATTTTCACATGCCCTTCAGTACTATTGTTCTTTTGATTTGTTCCAACCATTTAGAGTGTAAAAATCATGCTCAGCTCTTGAGCAAATGGCGCCTGGGTCTGCCTTGCAGGCTCTAGCTCATCGACTCCTTTACGTGGTTGGTCCTGCGCTTGCAAATCTCTGAGGCAAATGTTGCTCTATCTCGTCTCCTGGTAGTTAGCAACTTTCTAAATTATCTACTTTTAAACATTCATCTCACTTGACCAAAGTTTACATGTCTTGCTTTCCCAGAATGCCGGATCTGGCAGCCTCTATGTGCCAGGCTTTT